ATTCTGTGAATTTCTTTACTCTCTCTTGATGGTTTCTTTCACTATGTGAAAGCTTTTCAGCTTGATGAGGTCCTACTTGTCTATCTTAGCTTTTACGGCATTCACTTTTAAGGCCTTGGTCAAGAATTCATTGCCTACTCTGATGTGCATAAGGGTGTTTCTTACTTTTTCTTTTGGGATTCTTATAGTTTGAGGTTTTACATTTAGGTCTTTGATCAATTTTGAGTTGATTTTTGTATATGGTGTCAGGTAGGGGTCCAGTTCCATTTTTCTGCATGCGGTCAGCCAGTTTTCCCAGCACCATTTGCCAAATATGGTCTCTTTTCCCAGTGGTTGTTGGTGACTTTGTTGAAGATGAATTAGTTGAGACTGTATTATTGCTTCTAGAATGTCTGTCCTGTTCCATTGGTCTATGTGCCTGCCTATTCTTATACCAATACCAGGCTGTTTCAGTTACTGTAACCTTGTAATAAAGTTTAAAATCTGGAATTGTGATACCTTCCACTTCGTTCCTTTTGCTGAGGATTGTTTTGGCTATTTGGGCTCTTTTGTGTTTCCATGTGAATTTCTCTGTTGTCATTTCCAGGTCTGAAAAAATGATGTTGGTAATTTGATGAGTATTGCATTGAATCTATAGGTTTCCTTGGATAGGATGGACATCTTGACAATATTGATTCTTCCAATTCATGAGCTTGGAATGTTTTTCCATTTGTTTGTGTCAACCGTGATTTCTTTGAGCAGTATTTTATAGTACTCACTGTAAAGGTCTTTCACTTCTCTGGTTAGGTGGATGCCAAGGTGTTTGTTTCTTTTTGGCTATTGCAAATAGGAGTGTGCTTTTTGTTTGGTTCTCCACCTGCTTGTTCCTTGTGTATAGAAATGCAACTGTCTTTTGCACATTGATTTTATAACCCAAGAGTTTACCAAAGTTGTTTATCAGTGTGAGGAGGCTTTTGACAGACTCCTTAGGGTTTTCAAGGTATAAAATCATATAATTTGCAACAAGATATAGCTTATCTTCCTCTTTCCTATTTGGATATCCTTGATCTCCTTCTCTTGCCTGATTGCTGTGGCTAGGACTTACAGCACTAGTTGAACAGGAGGGGTGAGAGTGAACATCCTATGCTTCTGACTTCTGCCCATTGAGCAAAATGTTGACTGTGAGTTTATCATAGATGACTCTGACTGTTTTGAGAAATGCTCATTCCATGCCTAGGTACTCTAGGGTTTTTATCAAGAAGGGATACTGGATTTTGCATCTAATGATATAATCATGTGCTTCTTAATTTTACATCTGTTATTGTGCTGACCTACATATATGGTCTTGCAAATGTTGAATCAGCCCTGCATCCCAGGAATGAAGCCCACCTGGTCATGGTAGATGATTCAAGGTTTTGTTGGATCTGATTTGCTAGAATCTTGTTTAGAATTTTTGTGTCTGTGTTTCTAAAGTAGATTGGCCTATAATACGCTTTCCTTTTTGAGATTTTGCCAGGTTTGGGTATCAGTATGATGTTAGCTTCATATGCTAGCTTCATAAAATGAGTTGGGGAGAATTCCATCATTCTCGATTGCTTGGCATATTTTCAATAAGATTGGTATCAGCTTCTCCTTGTATATCTTGTAGAATTCAGCTGGGAAGCCATCTTATCCAAGAATTTTTTGTGGGAATATTTCTTATGACTGAGTCAATTTGTGGATTGTTCTTGGTCTATTTATTGTTTACTTGTGATCTTTCTATTTTATTGATGTGTCTATGCAGTGCTATGAATTTTCCTGTTACCACTGCTTTCAGGGCATCCCAGAATTCTGATATGATGTGTTTGGGTTTCATTTGTTTCCAGAAATATTTTTATTTCTGTCTTGACTTCCGTGTTGACCCAGCATGTTCAGCAGCATGTTGTTTAGTGTCCATGTTTTTGTGTGCTTTGAGGGGATCTTGGTGGTGGTGATATTTATTTTTATTTCACTGTAATCTGAGAATATGTATGGTATTATTTTGATCTTTTGAAATTTATTCATGCTTCATTTATGTCTGAGAATGTGATAGATCTTGGTGTATGTTCCATGTGCTAATGAGTAGAATGCATACTCTGTAGATGTTGGGTGGAGTGGTCTATAGGTGTCTATTAAATCCGTTGGATAGAACGTCAAGTTAAGGTACCAGATCTCCTTGTTTGTCACTCTATGTCTCTTCATTGGTGCATTTAGTCCATTCACATTTGAATTGATTATTGAAATGTGAGTTTATCCCTGTCATAGAACTCTTAGGAGGTTGCTTTGTTTCCTTTTTTTCTTTTCTATTTATATATGTGTGTATTTTCATTTTTGTGAGTACTCTGTATTTCCTATAGATTCTGTGCTTGCCTGCATTTTTGTGATGGGTATGGCTGTTCTTCCCCCCTCCCCTCCATGTTCAGCACCTTCTTAAGTGTCTTCTGAAGACTGGTCTGGAGTCAGCATATGCTCTTAGGGATTGTATGTCTGGAAAAGATTTTAACTCTCCATTACTGATGAAGCTTAGATTGGCAGGGCAGGACATTCTTGCCCAGAATTGCTTATCATTAAGACTGTTAAAGATAGGACTCCAGTCACTTCTGACTTATAGTGTTTCTGCAGATAAGTCTGGAGTAATTCTGATGGGTCTTCCTCAGTATGCAGTCTGACCTTTCTCTTGCTGCCTTCAGGATTTTTTCCTGTTTTCATGCTTACTTTTTGGAGGTGGATTACTATGTGTCTTGGGTTTGGCTTCTCATGTGCTACCTTGTGGGGATTCTCTAAATCTCTTGTGATTGACTGGTCACCTCTCTGTCGAGATGTGGGAAGTTTTCTTGGATGACTTCATGTATTGTTTGTTTCATGGTGTTCTGTTTCCCTTTTTGCTTGAGGGAAACCTATTAGGAGTAGATTTGGCTTGTTGACATAATCCTGCATGTCTTAGAGGCTTTGTTCTTTCTTTTTGAGTTTTTTTTTTTTTTTTTTGCTACACTTTTGACAGACTGGGCTAATTCCATGTTTTGGTCTTCATGGTCTGAGTTTCTTTCCTATGCCTGGTTGATCCTGCTCCCTATGTTTGCTACTTTGTTTCTGATTTCCAAGATGGAGTTCTTCATTTTCATTATTAAAGAATAGGCTTTTCTGAAATTGGCCAACTCTGCTTTTACTTCCTGAACTACTTTGGTGAGTTTCAATTCTAGTTTCTTTTGGTTCTCTCTGTTTTAGCCATCTAGCCTCTGATTTCTGTGACTGTCATCTGGGACATGTTGTTCAGAAGGTTTCCTTTATTTGTGTTCTGATAACTGCTTTTTCGGGTTCTGTCTCTTTAGTACTCTGAAGATTGCCTGTATTTTTCTCATTTGTGACAGGCCTCTCTTCCCTTTCTGTAATTTATTTTGTTTTTGTTACTCTGAAGTTAGTCACTGATGCACTGGGACCTTTTCTGCAGTTCTAGAGCCTTTTCTGCAGTTCAGTGTACATAACTCAGTGAGAGAGATTGGGGCATTCACTTCTGCTTCTTGCTCCATCAGTGTCTGGTTCCTCAATTGTAGCAGCCCCTGCTGCTAACACTCTGCAGAGAGTGGGTAGGGTACCCAATAATAAGTTGGGATGGTTTTAGTCTTATAATCCAAGTTCCTCCTTTTGTAGTAATTTACCTCAGATCACCACCTAGCTTTTTTTTTTTAGTACTCTTGGAATATTCACAAGAGTAACTATATGCTGGGTCACCAGAAAGACTGCTGGAGACAATATAGCAGTGTCTGTCAGAATTATAAATGCATGTACCTTTTGATCCATTAGTTTCAGAAATTGATTATCCATTAGTTTTAGAAATTGATTATGTAGACATATTCTCTCAAATATGAAATTACCTGTTTACAAGGTTGGTCTAGGAAAGTTGTTTGTATAGTAAAGATTGAAAAGATCTAAATATCTATTAATAGGTCTGATTAAATCAATTTTTGTACAACAATACACTGGAGTATAATGCAACTGTAAAAGGGAATAAAGAAGTTTTTAATGTAGTAAAAGAGAAAGAACTCTAGGATATATTCTTAAATGAAAAAGCAGGATGCAAACTATGCCTATAATATACAACCATCTTTTCCTTCCACAAAAGTGGGGTAGACACACACACACACACACACACACACACACACATATATGCCTATATATGACATATAAACAAATCTCTGGAAAGATAAACAAGAAAGTAATAGCTTTGGTTACTTGTTAATGGAATATGAACTGGGCAAGTAAAGAATGAAGTAGTGAAGAGACTTCTTTTAAATATACTTAAAAAGCATGTACTGTCCATGTGAACTTACTATCTCTATAAACGTGTAAAAATAAACAATGCCGCAGAAGCTTAGAAGATAAAGCAATTAATTCTCCCTTGAGAAATTAGAGGCAACTTTTGGGATGAGTAATATTTGACCCAAAACTTGAAGAGTGAGTGGAATTTGGCAAGTGGATTTGGGTTGAAAAGATCATTCTAGGCCAAGGAACTGAGTTATATGAAGGCATAGAAACATGAAAGTGATTCTGAGGAGTGGGAAGATGTGATTGGGCATTGAGTGCATTAGATTTCCCCTCAAGAGTCTGCACTAGACAGAGCCGCTGACCAAGGTCAGGATTCCTTCCAGACCCTGGGTGCTACAGTGGGGAACAGAGTGTCTTGAGGGAGAGGAAACAAGGGCTGTGGAGGCTGGAAACAAGATAAAGTTCAACAAAGCAGCAAAGCAGTACCTATAAATTGCTTGTAAGACTTTTGAGTGATAATGCTTCAAAAAACCATTGGCTTCTCTTGGCACTCTCTGGTCATTACTAATCAGGACATTGTTGCAGTATATCTAAACTTAAAGAAACTCCTTAAGCGATTATTGGTGAGGGTGTGCTATCTTTGACACTTCTTTAAGAAATGAAGAGTATTGACTTATTATAATATTCCAGTTGAAAGTTATTTTTACTTACATTTGCCTTAATTTGTTTTCCCACAAAAGTCTCAATTTATACCAATGGACAGGATCACTGAGCTCACGTCCACCTGCCCAATTGCCACACGTAAGGTGAGTCATTAATGTAGGATTCAGCCTTTCGTATCATGTTTTCCATGTGAAGGGTCAGCCTCATCAAGGACCAAATGTCATCAAGGTTCAGGAGGTTCAGATGGGGAAGGACCAATAGATGTTAATTGTTATTTATTTTCTTATTAAAGTGATATATGTTTATTGGGGCTAACTTAGAAAGTAGAATATAAACAAAATTTAATTCACCTGTTATCTTACTGTCTGCACATAGTGACCGTTTAAAATACTTTAATGTATTCATTCTCAGTATTTCCTGTGTATAAGTGTGTGTGTGTGTGTGTGTGTGTGTGTAGATTTTTCAGTCTGTGGATGTATACTTGCCTAGAAATATGTTGTGTCTGTAATTCTCACATTTTTAATTGTGTTTGCTAAATGCTGTATTACCTTGTATTTCTCAAATGTCTGTTATTATCTAGAATTTAAAATTTAAAGAGGAGTATTTTTGAACCTTTATAACTTTTCAGTTGTATCAATCACATACACAAACTAATTCTTTATGATTTTGATTATTCACACTTCTTAACAGGCAAATGACGAAATTGATAAACCTAACCAACCTTTACATAAATAGATTTCTGGTAGCTATACATAACGTATTATATATATCTTTGGCATTTCTCTACCATTAAATACTGAAGCACTTGTTTCCAGCATGTCTTTTTAGTTTGTGTTTTCTTTATTTGCACCTTCAGATGCTACATCAAAGACTCAGTAATAAGTTGGAACGGGTATAATCCCCCAAGTTCCTCCTTTTATAGTAATTTACCTCAGGTCACTGCCTAGCTGAGCTCCAGAACCATGCTCAGGATCTACTCATTGTATAATAAATATATTTTATAATAATATCTACTCAGATATTATTATTGACAGGATATGCTCATTTCATAATAAATACAAAATAAAAAATAAATAAAAAATAATAAATTTGATAATATATCACCAGAGTCTGAGAGTAGGACTAGGAAAGGGATTCTCCTGGAGCAAAGAGCAGTAAAAATCAATGTGACGTAGTAAATAGATTGTAATGTGTTGTTATAGGGCCTCTACAATAATTATACAGTCTCATGCCATGAGATTCTTCCTAGCCATAAACAAACTAGTACTCTCCACCATAACATAACTTGACAAAATGATGGTGGTTTCTGTGAAGGAAAATGGGAGGTTCAGCAGTTTGAGCCCTGGGTAGTGCTGAGGAGAGAGCTCCTTGAGCAGTGGAGGTTAGGGCTATGGTGGGTAGTGCGATGCTTAGGAATGCCAGAGTGTTACTGGGTGCTCTGCCCTAAACTTCTCTCCTTCTACTAGTTATTTTTGGTTTCTTAGAAAGAGAGTAGGCCCTAGCAAGCAGACACATGTATTCTAGATCCCTTTGTAAATATATCTTTCACTGGTTGAAGTAGTGGCCACCGAGAGGCAGGAAGCAGCATATAGAATGGCAGTAGGAGGGGTGGGTTCTCACTTCATTTGCAGCAGGTAACCAAAAGCAAGTGAATCTCTGCTGAGAGGAAGTCAGTATGCACAGTACGTTCTCAATTTGGGTACTTCTGCATCCTCAAAATCAGATTTCTTGACTCAGCCCAGCTCTTCTGCACCTATATCTGAGTCAGATTCTTAATGAAACATCATAGCAGTACACGTTTGCTAAAGTTGATTTTCTAAGCTTTTGCTTTTTAAGCATTTTATTAATGGTAAGAAATATCACCTAATGTAATAACGGCATCAGGGAAATGGTAATTGGTCATTAAAGAAAACTGGCTACCAGAAACTAAAAATTTGTTCTTTGTTATTTAAGGAAAATACCAAAACTCAGAAAACCAGACTTTTGAGGGATGACTTGAAGCATGAATCTCTTTCATCCTTTAAGCTTTCCATCAGCCACAGAGGCCAAAAAAGGTACACGGAAGGGGCAGACTCTGATGTGGAGTATGTTTCAGAGACTAAAATTATGAAGAAGTCTGTGAAGAAGAACGCGAAACCTCAACAGCAGAGTTATCCAGCAGCTCTGCCAGTAAATGTCAGACTAGCTGAGAGATCCCAGGTATTTTATTAAATTCAAAAATGTATAATAATTCACTTGTTCTGGAAATAGCATTTCATCAAGGTTTTGCTTCATTTTCACATTTTTAAGGTGGTTCAATTATAGAATATTCATTGCAATCTGTGTTTATTGGACAAGGTCCCAATTTTTATTTTTTCCGTATTCTGTGTTTTGGAAGAAAAGTCAGATTGCTGTTACCAGCAATGCTGCCCAACTGAAGGACCCCTAAGAATGCCCAGCTGGGAAAAGGATTTTAAATTTATATTTAAGAGTGAAATATTCATGTGGGCTAAACTTTTAATGTTTAGAATTTTGTGCTCAATGTTTTATAGGAAAAAATCCTTAGCGAAATCATACATATTGTTACTCCTGTAGTCTGTGTTCTGGAAAAATTTAATATACAACTAAGTGTTGAGACTGATTTTAACAAATGGAGCACCCCAAAATTTTTATATATCTAAATGAGTTTGTTTCTTTCCAAAGAATCATAACACATTAAATTCTACAATGTTACCATTATTTCATTCCTTTTTGAGACATTTCCCTCAGATTCAGTTTAATAAATAGTGATACCTCCTACAGTTGAGTGGACATTATTTGCTCTGTGTCAGGTTCCGTGTGAAGGATTACAGACATCATTTCAATAACTTCCATTTTGCATTTTTCATAAGCCAAAATGTATTTCCCAGTTTATCAACCCTGTTCATTAAATTTGACTTCTAATGCCTTTTAACTATTTCCACAAATTAAATTCACCCTTAAAGAGTGGGTCTGGTCCATCATAGAAAATACTCCGGTGAACTACAATAGGCTCTGAAAGCAGTAAATTCATTTGCTCAGCAAATGTCTGTTGAACTTTTTATGCCTAGTGTAAGACCCAGCATTAGGCATGGTGGGAGACAAGATATTTTAGACATGGTCCTTTCAAAGGAATTATTTTGAACAATAGTTACTTTACAGAACTCTCTCACACATTCCTTTGTAATCTTTGGCAAATGGTGTTCAGACTCTTATTGAAAATCTTTAGTGAAAATCTTTACCTCCTAAGGTAGACTTTTCTTATTCCATTTTTGAGTAGCTTATCCTATGAAAATGCTCAAATGCATTTCCCTATAATTTTAAACTTTTGTCCCAAATCTATTCTTGAGACCATATGAACAAAGCTGAATTTGTTTACAGTCTACAGAATTTTAATATTTTGGTTGCTTTGAATTACGTATTATATTTGAATGTACAGGTTTATATTTTCAGCAGATAGTCAACCCTTGCTGCATTCAAAGTACTGCATGTTTGTAATATTAAAAGTAGTTTTATCATTTTATAGTCATATCTCTTTTGATTCCAAATTCCAGAAAAACTCATTAACTATGCAATTTCAAGATTTCGGATTTGTGACTTTATTGTATCAATCTGTTACATGGGCCGGGCACGGTGGCCCAAGCCTGTAATCCCAGCACTTTGGGAGGCTGAGGTGAGGGGATTGCCTAAGCCCAGGGCTTTGAGATGAACCTGGGCAACTTGAAGACCTTGTCTCTACAAAAAATGAAAAATCTAGCTGTGCATGGTAATGCGAGTCTATAGTTCTGGCTACTTGGAAGGCTGAGTTGGAAGGATCACCTGAGCCCAACAGGTTGTTGCTGGATTGGCTGTGAGCATGCTACTGCACTCCAGCCTGGACAATGGAGTGATTCTGACTCAAAAAAAAAAAAAAATGTTACATGTACTAAACATATAATCCATTGAGAAGTTGAAAATGTTAGAATAACTCATTTTAGACTTTAAATATAGGGACTCCCTTAGTATAGCATGTGTGTGTGTGTGTGTATGTATGTGTGTACGCATATATATGTATACATGTATTTGTAAAGCTACATGAAGTGGATATACACACATGCTTTATATATATTATATATACATATACACACACATATATGTATACACGTATGTGTGTGTTTGTGTGTGTGTATAAGATCTTATCAATTGCCACTCTGTATGCCAGCTATAACCATAAGCAAAACTGCACATGGTTCCTGCCCCGATCAAACTTACAGTCTAGAGATAGAGTCAGACACCCAATAATTAGACAAATATAAATTACTACTGTGGCTTTTTTTTTTTGACACTGTAACATGAGTTTTACAATAGGGGATTTGATTCTGTCTGGTAGGACAGGAACATCTTTCCAGAAAAAAATAGTGACTGAGCCTTTAGGACTGAATTCCAATTAAATTGGTAAAAAGAGAGGAAAAACATTTCCAAGGAATGCAAACAACATTTGCTAAATTTTAGAGGGAACTTTGTGAATGCAAATACCTTTAAAAAGATAGGGCAGAGGATAGAAAGGGGCTGTGGTGCGAGAGGAATTGGGTGGATTCCTTAGGCCTCCATGAAGGATTTCACATTTATCCTAAAGGCAATGGAAAACCATTGAAGGGTTTCAACCAGAGGAGTGGTGTGACCAGGTTTTCCTGTTGTAAAGATTGCTTTAGCTGAATGCGGAAGAAAGATTAGTGGAGAGCAGAGTTGTTGGAAAGGCAGCCTCGCACAAGCAGTCTTTTAACCCTCACTTGGCCACAGAAGAATGGACCTTGGCCCTCGGACACATCCTTTCCAAAAGATAAAGAGCCCACATGGCCTGTGCTAGACATATGGATTATATGTTTAGTACATGTTAACAGGCTGGAGTGCAGTAGCATGCTCACAGAAGGCAATATTGCTATGTGTGGGACTATCTTTCTTTATTGTAGGCCCAGTGTATGTTCTCTTTTGTTCTGCTTAAGTGTGTGTATCTCATGGAACCTTGGTTAACCCTATGGCTATATCTGTCCTCAAGGAGGGGACATGACATCTTCCTGTGGCATGAGGGGGTGCACGTAACCAATTGCTCTGCATTGCCTGTGGAGTAGGGACCTGCTGAATGTGGGAGACTGATGCACATGACTGAAGTTGATCTTGCTTTGTCTTTTCTCTGTATAAGCAAAGCATTGTTCCATCCAGTGCTTGACTGTATTGTGTTTTCTTTGGCAACTCCAATACCAAGATAAAATGGGCAGAAGTGTTTAGATTCCTTCCCTATAACTGGTAGCCGGTGTGTGGTGTTCTCCTTAACAAGAGTGAGTGCCTGCAGAGCAGTCAGGAGGCTTGATAGTGGTCTGATGGAGAGATCACAGTAGTGTGAGGGAGGATGATGGTGGTGGAAGAGGTAACACTGTCTTGGAGACACTGATTGGATAGAGGGGGGTGACACAGAGAGAAATGGCAAGAACGACTATGGAATTCCCCACTCTTTCACCAAATCAGATGGTGATTCCATTCATTGAAATAGCGCATCCTAGAAGGCATCTGGGCTTGTGGAGAGGCACATGGGTTCTCTTACATAGTTTGAAACTTCCAAGAGGATGTGCAAAGTAAGAGATTACACATATGAGTCTGGATTTTAGAGGTGAGGTTTAGGTAAGAGACATAAGCTTGTAAGATATTTGCATGTCTGAGGATGAGTGAGGTTGAAGAGTAAGAAGAAAAGAAGGACTAGAGGGAAACTAGAGGAATTTTAGTATTTTTATGGCTAGCTCTCAGAATATAGGTATGCACAGATGACTGTGAAGGAACTACCAGGGTAGTCAGAGAAGAAACCGGGAACTTGATATGTCATTAAAACCAAGAGGGGGAAAAGATGCTTTGAAGAAAGATAGTCACAAAGGCTAAATTCTGATAAGAGGCCAACTCGTGTGGCCAAAGATCTAAACAATGTCTGTTGACTTACTAATTTAGAGGTAATAGGGCAGATCTTGGGAAGAGTTTGTTGTTATTGGAGTAAAGGGGGTAGACCTCAGATTAGAATGGATTGATTAGCAAGTGAAGAGGAGGGAAACAGCACATCAAACCCTCGACGGGTATGCTAGTCACACTCCAGGAGACATTCTACATTTAGGAAAATCTAGAAGTGGGGTGGATAAATCACTTGAAAAATGAATTCAATCAGGTTTTAAATTGCAATTGAAACAACTTTCAATTACATGAGGATTATTTGCGGTAAATTTCTAATCTCCCATCCAGTAGACACACAAGGCATTACCAAGAGTAAACAGGAGAGGTGTGGGGAAATGTAATTAATTTTAATATTCGCCTAAGCATCATGGAATTAGGAAGGCAGATATGTTCTGAGTAAATCTTATCACGTGCTTCAAAAACTTGATAAAAATGGTTCTGAAATTAGCTAATATTTTAGCTTATATGTACCACAGTTGAGCTCCATTAATGCAAGTAATTCATTAGCTTACCATTCTTTCTAAAGAATTAGTTTTATTATACCTATACCTTTCTCAGAATGTTCTGCTTTATTTATCTTAAGTAACTTTTTTTACATTTCCTGGAAATAGAGCTCCTAATGAAAATAACATGCTTTTTGTTTCCTACATCTGCAGCTTTTAATTCCCTTGGACTTTTCTGTAGTGCCCTTTGTTAATTCATTTCACTCAACAAATAAATATTACACATTTCCTCGCGACCAGGTGCTAAGGACTAGGATATTAATAAGACACAGCCCCTGCCCTCAAGCAGCTGAGAGTCTACCTCCAGCCATTCCAGTTAAGGGAGACCTTAACTGGTATGTCTCGTTTTCACTGATTAATAACTGTATAATAAGAGAAACTCATGCTAGATATTTTGAGATGAATGTATATCTTATTCTTCTGAACATCTATATACTTTTTTTATATTTTATTTTAAAGATGTGAGGTACAATTCAGGGTTAGGTACACAGATGTTCGTTATACAGGTGCCCTTATTGATGAAGTGTGCATCTCCCCACTGGCTACATAAGTTTTAAGAACAATTTATTCAGTGTATGGACAGTAATTCATACAGATCCTTTGCAAATATTTCAGACCTGTTGATTCACTATTGTCCACTATAGTCTACATCATTCATACTTTATTTGCCTTGGGACATTCTTTTTGTTGTTGTTGTGTATTGTTATTTAACTTTTACATGTGCTTATCTAAATTAGATACGTCTTGAGGACAAAGATTATTTGCAATTTTACTTATATCCTACAATTAGAGACTGAATGAAGTAAAAACTGAAGGTAGTTTGATGTGCACCACTGATTGCTACTAATTCTTGTATTTTTGTTGTTGTCTTGTATTTTTGTTCTTAATTCCTTGCTATAGGCCTCTTCTTGGAAAATGAAAAGGAAGCAGAGTCACAACTTTGTACAGGAGTATAAGGTATTGACTGAAGTTGAAAACGGAAACAGTGATCCAGATATTGTCCTGGTAAGATAAACTTTACTCACTAAATGATACCTTGAGATTTAGTCATGAAGGATCCATGAATGCCTCAAAGTAACTGAAATATTTAGTTGGATGGCTTAGTTTTAGATGAAGAAATAAGACTTAGAAAAGTTTGTTAATTTACTTGCCCAAGGTTACTAAAACTAGTAGAGATATAACTAGAACTTACACCTGCTAACCCATAGTCCATAACCCTTTTTCCATTTTAGTTACCAGGGTGAAAAATCTTTAATATATATGTAAATATATAACAGTTATATGTATAACTTGAAGATCATCAGAAAACCTTATTACCAAATCCAAAGCATATGAACCTTTCTGGGATTTGAAATTTGGACTCTTCCCAGAGGTGTGTTCTGAATTGACTTAAATTAGGCAATTGCCAGAAGCCCTATAGACAGAAATCTATTAAATAAATATGGACGTGCTATCCACTTACTATTATAGATAATACGTCAGTCCCTGATTCTAGCTTGATAGTTAATATCAAAGAGCTATCTATCTGGGCAACTGAAGAGTAGAGTTGCTCGGCCTTCACTGATCCAACTGTCAGAAGCCCTTGACATTTAGGAAGAATTGATTCAAGTACTTGACTATATGAGAAACACTTCATCTGTGAAGCCACATTGTCCATTATGTTATATAGCATCCACTGTGTTATAATTTTAAAAATACTAAAACTGCATTTAGACATTAGAATTTAATGTCAGGAAAAAGTCTATTTGGTATTTTCTTTTATCAAAATATAAATTTTGACCCAACTACTCTCAGAAGATCGAAACAGGACTCTTACTTATCACCATACACAAAAATCAACTCTAAATGGATCAAAGACCTAAATGTAAAACCTCAAACTAGAAGAATCCTAGTAGAAGATGTAGGAAACTCTTAGGCATGTTGGAGTAGGCAACCAGTTCTTGATCAATTCTCCAAAAGTGAATGCCATAAAAGATAAGATAGACAAGTGAGATCTCATCAAACTGAAAAGCTTCTGCAAAGCAAAAGAAACCATCAAGAGAGCGGGGAGACAGCCCACAGAATAGGAAAAAAGATTTGCCAACGGTATATTTGGCAAAGGCCTAACATCCCGGTTCTACAAGGAACTCAAATGTGCTGAAAGGGGGGAAAATCCCTATTAAAAAGTGGACAAAAGATATGAGTAGACACTTCTCAGAAGAAGACATATGAGCAGCCAACAGATACATGAAAAAATGCTCAGCCTCACTAATCATCAAAGAAATGCAAATCAAAACCACACTGAAATACCACCTAATCCAGCCAGAATGGCCATCAGCAATAACTCAGAAACCAACAGGTACTGGAGAGGATGCGGGGAAAAGGGAACGCTTCTACATTGTTGGTGGGAGTGTAAACTAGTACAACCTCTGTGGAAAAAACGTGGCAATTTCTAAAAGATGTAGAAATCAAGCTTCCATACGACCCAACAATCCCCCTTCTGGGAATATACCTGGAAGAACTCAAATCACTGTAGAAAAAAGCATACCTGCACACACATGTTTATTGCAGCATTATTCACAACAGCAAAAACATGGAACTGACCGTGCTGCCATTGAAAGAGAACTGGATAAAGAAAATGTGGTACATATACATGATGGACTATCATGTAGTCATAAAGAAGGACAAAATCATGGACTTTCACAGCAATTTGGGTGGATTTAGAGTCTGTTATACTTAATGATCTACCACAGAACCAAAGATCTGGTACTACATGTACTCATTCATAAGTGGACCCTGGACATTATCATAATACTGTAAGATAGCATCGGCAGTAGTGGAGCACTGCCAGCGGAGGGAGGAGAGCTCACATAACAGCAATAAGGGTACCTGATCTCAAACTAGGTGAAGTGGGGGCCGAGGCCCAAACTTTACCTAGACAGTAACTACTTAGGTACCCAACCCTGAATTGTACCCTACATCTTTAAAATAAATTTTTAAAAAATCAATAAAGGTAAAACAAATAATAATGCCATGTCTCTTTACTTCTTCGGAGCAAAGTGTTACAAATCCTTCCCTGCGAATCTTACTCTCCACCATGTGCTTTGCTGAAATTTCAGTCTTTGTTTTTTATGTAGCCATTACTTTGTCACCTCTCTAAGCTTTGCACAGAGCTTTGAGCAAGTGCTTTTTCATGAATTAAATGTGACATTTGTATTAAAAATATTATCTTTTAATGTATCTTTCTCAAGTTCTTATGTTACTCATGTGTGTGCTATGATTTATTTGTGTCTCTGTGATCCTAGCAGGATGTCTGTTTTCAAACTCTTGGTGTCTAATTAACTTGGGTAAATATGTATTATTCAGGGACACACATTAATTTCTGTTTGACTGTAGTTGCAATAATTCAAGGAGGAAATAACCTGAATGCTTTGCTGTCTGTACTTTCTTAAACTCAAATTTAAAAAAGATTCTTCTTCATCCCTGTGCTCCTCCCAGTTATCTTCTAATTATAGCATGTGTCTGTGTGTGTCTGTGCGTGCTCATGTATACATGCATGCTTTCATTCTGACCCTGTGTGTGCTAAATCTCAAGAAGGAAGGCACTCAGTGCCAAAGTAGTGCAGAATGTTGTCATTTAAGGAGGAACTATTAACTACCACACAGGACACCTTCCCATGATCCTTGAAGGTGGTATTTATTATTTTGGTGAATTTACTGGTTGTGGGACCTAGGACCTTATTTTTAGGTATAAAAGACTCAGAGACGTAGTATATACTCAGCACACCAAGAAAGTTCATCTCACAGGAATGATTTCACATTATCCAAATTCATGAGACTGTTGTATAATGCCATAATGTCAATTTGAAAGATAAATACAGCCTCAATTCAACTGGAAGGCACATGTTGACTTAAGCTATGCATTCTGTCCCTTTATGCCAATTTACATGGGCTGGCCAATTAAAATCTAACAGCTGCTGGTGAGCTGGGTATCTGAATATTTAAAAGCTGCCAGCTAAGACAGCCAGCTGTGTACACCTCCTCAAAAGGGGTGACAGGGATGATGTTACCAATACAACAATAATACTAGAAGGATACTGACTTGGGAGACTTTTGCCCCGTACCTGCCTGTGGGTCTGTAACTATTTTTTTCATGCTGTCTAAAAATCAACTTCATTCTAATTGACACATTTTCTTCTTTTGCTATGTTAATAATGCCTATGAGTCTGCCCTTTGGAACTATTATTTTTTCATAGTAGGGCACTTCCCCCGGCTATGTTTTGGGCAACACCTCATTCTGGTTCTTGTAGTAACAATTGTGCGATTTTAAATGAAATGATAATAGTATTTGTTACTTTTCACATTCATATTTAATCTTACCATTGCTGATTATTTCCGCCATATGGTCATTCATTCTCCAGAATCACCTCACTGCTGTGGCTCACTGTTACAGCAGCTTTTTTTTTCCCTTAACTTTTGCCCTCCCTACCCCACTTCCATTCTTTTTTTTTTTTTTAAGTGAATTGACATTTTATTTATTGTTTTAAAATTTTTATTATTTTAAAGCATTTGTAAATTTTAGATTCAAGGGTTCCACATATATTCATTACATGGACATATTGTGTAGTGGTGAGGATTGGGTCACAGGTGGCTGGCCCATTCCTCAGACAGTGAACAGTGTGCCCCGTAGGTAGTTTCTGAAACCTAGCTCCCCTCCCTACCCCCCCCTTACTAGTGTCCCCAATGTCTATTATTTCCATCCTTGTGACCGTTTAGCTCCCACATATGAGTGAGAACATGCAGTGTTTGGTTTTCTGTTTCGGAGTCAGTTTACTTAGGATGATGATCTCCAGCTCCGTCCATTGTTGCTGCAGAGAACACAATTTCATTCTTTTTTATGGCTATGTAGTATTTCATGGTATATATACTAGGTAGCCATAAAAAATGTGGTGTATATATATACACCACATTTTCATTATCCACTGATTGGTTGATGGGCATTTAGGTTGATTCCACAGCTTTGCGATTGTGAATTGGGCTGGGACAAACATGTGGACGCAGGTGTCTTTGTTATAGGAAAATCTCTTATGGACATCAGCCTAGACAAAGAATGTATGGCTAAAACCCCCAAAACAGATGCAACTAAAAGAAAACAAAAAATAATAATAAGTGGGACTTAATTAAGCCAAAAAGCTTCTGCACAGCAAAAGAAATAATCTACAGAGTAAAAGGTAGCCAACAAAATGGGAGAAGACATTCACGAACTAAGCTTCTGACAAAGGACTAATATCCAGAATCTACAAAGAACCCCATTCTTAATTCAATGCTCTTCTAATTGCTTTTACTCTAAGCCTGTGGTCAACTGAAGCTATTAAAAAATGCATTTTTCTGTTTCCTCTTTTTCCTAGTAGGGCAATCATTTTTTTCTGGTCATTTTTAATGTCTTGTCACTTTCTTCTATACCATGCGTCACATTTAACATGCTTCCAAATCATTCGTGTGGTGATGGGCTTCATTTGCTCATCTCCAGTTGCTTTTGGTCATGTACTGTGTTAGTGTCACTTATGTGACTTTTTCCTTTTTGATATTAATTTATGTTTGATCTTTTAGCCACTGTAGGCTGTTTCAAAGACCCATGCAATGAGAGTGTTCTTGGTAATACCTTGGACATCATTTGAAGCCTTGGGCATTTTCAGCTGGAATTCAGTTAAAGCTCCAAGCATTTTCTGGGGATTAAAAAACTGTCATGAGAATAATGAGGAGCTTTTGTTAAAAAAAACAAAACAAAACAAAACTTAATCCTCTTCAAAATGCCCCAGATTGCCTCCCAATTGGACCCGTGAAGACATTTGGTGTGGGTCTCCATCTGCACTACAGCAAACTTCTTTTATTATTTTTCAGTCTTATTAGCACAACTACAGTTCTCTTTACATCTCAGGATTACTAATGTGATCCAGATTTATTATCTCTGACCGTATAAAACTAAATTGTTCCGAAATACTACTGTGTGTGGATGCATGTGTGGTC